TGTGTGCTCCCCCCATGGCTCCCTCTGTGCTCCCCCATGCTCTCTCCCTGCTCCCTCTTGGCCGTTCTCACTGGTCCGTCGTTTCTCTCTGTACAGGAAGACTTTGGCAGCGATGATGTGGATTCGCTGTGCGTAGCGCTGAAAGCATTAGCCACCGACAGCAACAAATACCGCGCAAAAACCGACCGCCGCAAACAGCGCTCGATCTTCCGGGACGTCCTGCACTACATCGAGGTGAGGAGCGATGGAGATGAAGTGCTAAAAATGCTTCTAGATATTGTGCCGCGGCTATTCAATCATCAGTATGAGGCCGCGTTCGCACCATCCTGATTATGGCCGGAAGGCACTGGATCGCATTGCGGCCGGCTCAGTTTGTTGCGGGGCGGGAGGGGGCGTGGCGGTCCGATATGCGGTTGGCCGCGCGGGAATGCAAGGCACGCCAATGCCTGCGGTACGGTCCGAAAAAATAGTACTTGCAGCATTTGACCGGACCGGACCAATGGCATTGATGTGCCTTGCGATCCTATACCGCCTATCGCATTGCGGCTGGAGGGCGTGGCTACGGTGCCATTCACTTCAATGGACCGCCACGCCCCCTCCCGCCCCGCAACAAACTGAGCCGGCCGCAATCGGGATGGTGTGAACGCGGCCTCGCATGTCCATGCAGGTCCAAGGCTCTCCTCTGATTCTGGGGCTATTGTACCATCACTATGGCGGCTCTCCGCTCCCTACTAATAGTCCCGACATTCCCAAATATTTACCTGTTGATCCCGCCAGTGCTGCAGTTATTTCCCATTGAGGGGTGACAACCACTGCCGAATGTACAGCGTTGTCAGCCCTCTGATGTGTCTCACCTCTGTGGTGACATCACCGCAGACACCTGTTGACGCATTGCATGTGACACATTGGGGTCTGTTCATCTCCTCGGTGACATCATCGGGTTCCTCCTCCGAGGCGTTGTCACCGGTGAAGGGCGGTGAGGCGGGTCGATCTTCTGGCCGTCCCTTCCCCCGAGCAACGTGCAATTAAAACTGGTTACGTCTGCAGATGCTTGCTCCGGATCCGCTGAGAGGGGCCGGCACACGTCGCGGCACCCAGACTCGAGTGCCAAAGAACGCATCCCCGGCATCCCTTTTAGATTTGCTGCTCCCCTGCTGGCCAATGGGTGCGGCAGACTTTAGCTGTGCACTCTGCTAATCGGTTGCTTTGACCGAGCGTGCCTGAGGCCAGGCCAGAGACGTGTTTTCCTACAATGGCAGAGAAAGCGAATGGCTGCGAGAAGCCGGCCAACAGCGGCAATCGCTCAACTAGATATGGAGACGGGTCCAATGTGGCTGCTGCAGCTTCAAAGGGTTGTATTGTACAGATGCAAGTTTGCAGGGAATTGGTTTTAAAGGAGAACTACGGGGTCAGGGCTTTCCCCATAGTTCTCCTCAGGGTCACGGGAGGACACAAACTAGCGTCCTCCCGTCACCCTAGGCTCAGTATATAGGGAGCTACAGCTCGCGGTATACTGAGACGCCGCAACCGGGACATTACTGTCTGGATCCGCCCAGCTGCGTGAGTGACAGCTGGCTCCGCCTATCTAGAGGCAGAGCCAGCTGTACCCGCCCCCGTCCGTTCACGTGAGTGACAGTCACCTCTCTGCAGGGATAGAGAAGTGAGCGAGCGGCGGTATGCGTTCCCGATCTACAGAGCCGACCTGTGACAGTCTCATTGTCACACGTCGCCCCGAACGATGAGAGAGGAAATCACTCCCCTCGTAGTTCTCCTTTAACACAGGAGAGGATTTGCTTCATCTGGGGGGGGGAGGGGAGAGTAGCTTTAAGAAGGGCCTCGTGATGTAAGACTTGTATTACCTGATAGCAACCAATCAGATTGCAGCGTACGGCGGGAGGAAGGGAAGCTTTGGGATTGGTGTATAATGAAGTTCCGTGTTGTGTGCAGGGAGGGGAGTGCCAGGAGGAGACGATAAAGTTCGGTCTGGAGGTCATGTACGTGGACAGCTGGGTGCGCAGGAGGACGTACTGCACCTTTAAGGAGGCGCTGGGCTCCGGGATTCGCTATCACTTGCAGGTAACGCCGCCGCCGCGTCCCAACAACGGGGCAGACGCCGCGCACACGCGAATCCGTCCACGTCGTCCTAACGCACCTTCTCTCCCCTCAGCACAATGAAGTTCTACGAGACATCTTCTCCCTCGGGCCCCCTCTCATCCTGGACGCCGCTGCCATCAAAGCAAGCAAAATCTCCCGGGTGGAAAAGGTGAGACCGGGCGCTGCCGATTGGTCTGTGAGTGGCCCGGGCGCTGCGGATTGGTCTGTGAGTGACCCGGGCGCTGCCGATTGGTCTGTGAGTG